AACCTGCATCACTGCAACAATTCTGTGCTATTTTGTGATTACCCAAAAAAGCTTTATCATTATTTTGCTGTTGATGATGAGGACATGGACTAAAAGCAGTATCAGAATGTGTTGTCAACCATGCTTCAACAGCAGATGGCTACACCTGACCAAATGAATGCCTGCAGTAGCCCCACCCCCCAACCACACACACACCTTTTTAATTTCCAATACTGTATGATATAAATTCATGAGTTGTTATGGAACACAAATTAAAAGGAAAAGCTTTAAAATTTGTTCATGGTCCACATGGTTATGGGGTCAAGTTATTATTTATATTTTAAAACGTGTCCACGTGATACTAGTGTGTGATGACATTTGATCATCATGTAATATGATTGAACACTCCACTGTTGTACCGTAGAGTTAAGGTATAACCTTGAGACCTGTATACATGTATCACTGTAGACAAACAAATCTGTTGTACTGAAGGAGTTCAAGGATACACAGATTTATGGAGTATCTAAACAATATGTCACGCGGTTTTAATCCTGAAGTTATGAAAGGTTTTAAATATGTATAGTATGGCCATATCTGTTACATAGCGATACGCTCACCTGTCAGGTAAATTATAGACATGTAGGTTTAAGTGACTTAAGTATTTGTCAGGGAAATTATAGGCTAGTAGGTTTAAGTGACTTAAGTATTTGTCAGGGAAAATATAGACATGTAGGTTTAAGTAACTTTAGTATTAAGATATAGATATTTAACATTTAGTTAAAGTCAGAGGTTGGTTGATGTTAGGAGGTTGACCTATTTGATACCTATATTTAAATTGATACTTAGCAGTATCTACAGTTACTAGCTCTGTTAATGTACTCCAATCATTGGTAATGATCCAGAATACAGCATATTTACAAGATTCAAGTAGAGTTTGAGGATATGTATTTCGCTTAATTTAGAATGAATGTTTCAGATGAGGACATTGACCAATTTGATACCTGTATTTACAATCCATGGACTCAGCGTTACTCGTGTTCAAACTATTGATAATGATTCAGGATCTAGTTATATTGAGTGATAGGTGGTAATGAACTGATGATGATAGTTTGGTGAATATCAATTGTTGTTATTACATAATGTAGTTGTGCCGAGGAAATGAACCCTGGTGTGACCTCACTGATTTATATGACTGACAGGTCTTTAAGTTGCATCTGTGACCTGTTCTGCTGGTCAGATTTTATACAGCTTCTGGTACATCCTGGAAGGATTTCAAAACAGTCCGGCAGACTGTCACAGCCTGGAATTAAAGACCACATAGGATCAACAACCATTATATTTAACTTCCTTACCCATTCCCCCTTACACAAGGTGTAAGTTTAAATCTGGAATGAGATAATCTACCTGTCAGTCTTAAGATACAGTATTGTCCACATGCAGTGGCCGCTTTGACCAATTTCAAATGAAACATTGTAATCATCTTACTCTTCATATACTGTTGAGTATACTGGTACCACAAGTCTATACTATTTTGAATTACATGTACCTGGTATTAAAAAAATGACTAACTATTTTGATCACTTGGCCGTCTGATTCTAGATTATAAAGTTTCAAACTAGGGGAAAATAAAAGCTAGTAGAAAAATGCCAGCCTAACAGTTGAGTGAGTGGTGGCCAGTGGAAACTATAGGGAGTTGTCATATCAAATATAATCATAAAACATCTTACTTCAGCTTTATGATCATATGAGAGAAATCAGAGGAATACTAAGCTCAGCATTTATTGTGTCCTTATTGCATCACTTTACTTATGACTTCCAAATCATTGAACTGTACTATTAAAGCCTTAACTCATTCACCCCTGAAATTTCATAATGAACTACTCCAACCTTTGAATTGGAAGAGTTAAAATGTGTCTTTAGGGGTGCATGAGTTAACCTAGACGTCCTACCTGTCTCTTTATTGAGCAGGCTCCATATCCTGTTCATGTACAGTTGCTTCGTAGCCTTTCCCAATGATTGCTGCCTACACAGACCTGTCAGAATTACTAATATCCTCTGTTTCAAATAGGGACATATCTGATACAAGTGCAGAAAGGTATTGTGGTAAGATATACATGCACATCCTACAATTGTATGGATCACACGAGCACAGAGATATTACAATATTACAGACCTCATGGCTTATACACAACACTTTACTGTGTCAAGTGAGTACCATAGACAAACAATGCCAATTTTATTCCCAGTTTATTCTCGATTGTAAAAAATAATTATCATCAGACTTTTAGAAGATGTATATAGGTCTGTTTCATTGTAATATACAACTAAGGGGTACTTTAATTGAGAATTTCCAGTTAAGGCTTTATGCCCCATATTTATTCTATACCTCACTATTACTTGAATCTCCTTTCTAAAAGATTTCAAACTTAGGAAACGTATGAAATATATATAAGTAATAAAAGTAATTTGAATTCAGTGGTTAATTAATTGTATTAATGACAAATAGTTGCATTTCCTTATTCCAGTAATGTTATTAGGGGAGATAATCCATATCACAAAAATTACAGCTTTGGTGTGTAAAAAGGACCTTAGGTAGTTATTGTATAATTATGATGTTTTGTCATGCTTATTAGATGTTTTTGGGTGTGCTGTCATGGCTACATAATTGACTATAAACAGTTGTGTTGCCATGTTTTATAAATGTGTATAGGTGTGTTGTCATGGTTATAAAGTTGCATACAGACTTGTTGCCATGGTGACAGTCACATGTATACAGGTGTGATGTCGTGGCTTACAAATGCATACAGGTGTGACACTGTCTATTGTTGTGTTATTCAGTAAAAGCCTCTCCATAGGTGTCGGTGTAGGTATGAAGTCATCTGTATATTATCACACGCAGGTCATTATACTCAATGTGTATATACTTCTGATAGTGAATAATTTACGCACTGTTGTATTAAAACTACAATATTGAGTGCCATTATACCGTTGGCTTTGAAAATCTCACAAAATATTTATATTGCCAGGTAAAATGGTCGCACATTTACTTTGCACCTGGTAAACTTTGATGTACAGGAAATAGGGTTAGGTTGTACGTGTATGCTGTATGACAATTAAAAACGCTCTAAAAAATGTGGGTCAATGCAGCCATATGATATAAAGAAGTTGGCACAGTGCAGGTATTGTCATTGATCTTGTGTTCTAGTGGAACACTTTACACCATTTTACATAATTTTCTTCTGTAATTTGTGTCAAAATCATTCAAATTTATTCTCAATTCGATATCTCATGAATTATTTCATCCTTGTGCATATAGCTTCTCTAATTTTTTGTCGTGTGAATTGGTGTTAAATTCTCTCGAATTGCTTCCCCACTATCTTCATGTCATAGATCTGAGTATCAACCTTATGAGGATGGCTTCTGCAAATTGTCAATACTTTAGATCTGTTGTCAACCTTGTACAGATTGCTTCTCTAAATCATTTTCATGTGAGTTGGTGTCAAAGTCTTTTAGAATGAATGCTTTTCTGAATCTGCCATGTTTGAAATTGGTAACAATCCTGGGTGGGTAATGCTTCTCTACGTTGTTTCTCTTACAAAGTTGTGTTAAAGTCATGTAGATTCTTTCTCTTTATCTTCGTCTTATTTGTGAATTGGTGTCTTTTTCTCTTGGATTCCTTCTCTAAAATGTTGTCATGTAATTTGGTGTTTACATCTTCCTTATGTGTTTCTAAATTCTCATCTATTGCAATTTGCTTTACTTAATTGATATTGGTGATTAATTGTAGTTATTGAAAGTCCTAGTTTGTCTTGTGAGCTAGTCTGAATTTCTCTCAAAATCCTCAAATTGTTGTCTGTCTTACTTGAACAATATGTGCATGTCTTTTATTTTCCTTTAGCCCTTTCACCACTGTAGACCATAATGGAGTCACATCCACATATCACATGATATCTTCAACATAAACAAGCCAAGTACAGTGATTTGATTTTGTTACTTGTCTAAAACCATTTTATTCACTCTGGGAAGTATAATATCTTAGGCATAAACAATCTAAAAGTACAGTTGATTTTGTTACTTGTCTAAAACCATTTTATTCACTCTGGGAATTATAATATCTTAGGCATAAACAAGCTAAAAGTAAAGTTGATTTTGTTACTTGTCTAAAACCATTTTATTAACTCTGGGAAGTATAATATCTTAGGCATGAACAAGCTAAAAGTACAGTTGATTTTGTTACTTGTCTAAAACTATTTTATTAGCTGTGGGAGATATGATTTGCTGCGCCACTGAACAAGCTGAGTACAGTGAGTTGTGTGTCTAAAACCAAACAAGAATGTGTGCTTAAGAAACGCTTCACTTACTCGGAAATATATTACGAGATGATGGTAATTATCTTTTTATGGAAGATTAAAATCCACCCTAATCTAGGTATAATGTTTCAGGCAGATTTAAACATGAATTGCCCTATGGAAATGTAATTGGCAGCTTTAAATGCATCTAATTTATGAGGAAAATAAACATTAATTTCCATCAAATCTACATTATTAAATGAATTAGATGTATTAAAATATCATTGCATTTAAATGTCATGCAGCCTTGCAACACTCAAGGTAACTTTATGTCACACAAACAAGCGTCAACGTTAAAGACGAGGGATTCCATGGACACCAACCTTAAAGAATTAAATGCATTTGCTGCGAGTATTTATCCTGCAATATGCCCAGGGGGCACACACAATCAATTTCAACTCAGTGTAAGGGGGTGGGCTTATTGCAGGACAATGAAATAACACTTTTTAGAATTTCTGCTGAACTATTTTTGACATGTGTGAGTTATCATCCAGGAACATGGGACTGCATTGCGGGATAGATACAGTGTAGTTAAGGTAGATTTTAATCATAATTATAATCACTAGACAGATACACCAGATCACTGACCTTGACAAGGCTCAGCCTACAGATTACTGACCTTGACAAGGCTCAGCCTACGGTTTGTCACAACAAAATTGTCAACGGAGCAGAAATAATGGGGAATCTGGCCTGAAGACAAGCTGCATGCTGGCTTTACACCTTTCCATCACATGGGCACACAATGAACTAGAGGGATATCAATTGTCTTGATTTGTCTGATATTCAGGGAATGAAATGCGTGATATTAATATCATATTGACTGGAATATCACCATGCATTGTGATTCTGTTCTAGAGGTGCTGTACACTTGAGCTCTCCCAGCTGATAATTGCTCTGACGCAGTTTACAGTACTATTGACAATCCCAAGGATGATGTAGTGAGGAATTCCTGGTATAAGTTGTGGCCAGCATATCATTGGTAATCACACCAACAGCAGTGTTTTAGACTACTCACAATGCAGGACATGGAAATTTCAACCTATATTGGATAAATGGTGTGGTAGAAATTGAGTGAACGTGTTGGCGCGGCTGGAACACCAGGTAGACTTGTTAACGTAGATTGATTACATGTAATAGGTAGACATTGATTTTATAATACACTAGGACAACCGTGTGGAGGTAGCATACATTTTGTACATGACATTTTGTTATAGTCTGTCATGAAACACAATCGGCCTGGACAGGGTTTGATTTACAAAATCACCTATGATGTATGGAAAGTGACACATCTGAATTTTGATTGATAATAAGATTGAATGTATCTCCTTCAAAATTTTAACATATATGGTGACATTCCTTTTCATTTAGTTAAGTTTTGATTTATCTTTTTTCTAAGATTGGGTCTACTTGACATTTACAGTTCCAGCATGGAATGTCCAATTAGTGTAAGGTGACAGCATAGGTTGTCAATGTTTAAGTATAGATATTGAAAATTTTAAAGAATAACACATTTTATGTGTTTTCTCAGTGCTATTGGACAGGGCTGATCTCTCTCCATAGGCTGCTATAAAGATGTTAAATCCTCTATCTAGTGATAAGATGGCAAGGAGCCCGTATTAAGGAAACCGTTCTCTTGTTCAAACTCAGATGCTGTGCTGATAAGCACAATTTCTTGTTGCAGTGATAAAGTGAAAGAACTTCACATTTTGTCAATGATTTTAAAGAATTTTGGGGAGACTTGAAGCCGAAATTGGTTTCAGTATTTAATCTTGACTTTTTCCGTGTTAGATAATTGAAGAGAGTAACAAGAAAGAAGGTTTGAGTGCAAAATCAATGCTTGAGCATGAGAACAGTTTCATAAATATGCTGGCCCAGGTTTGACCCCTATTGCCTTTAAGGTGATCGGGATCCTGTCCTGGTACAAACTGTAGTGGTTGCTGACCTTATAAGTACAGCAGTGTGCACTAATTGGTAAGGGGATACCCAATTAAGGGCTTTAGATTGCATGTAGCTTATGGATCAAATATTTAGAAAATAACAGTAAAAGAGGGTGGTTTAACTGAACTTTCATTTATTGTCCCCTAATACTGTATACAAGGAAACGTAGGTCACCCTTTCTGATAAAATCCATGTTTTCCCAGTGTTAATTTCGCCCGTCACTTTTAATTACTATATATTTCATGTTGTGTACTTTAATTTTGGCAAAAAATTTGCCAGTATACAGAATACTATTGGAGGGATCGACTGTAGGTTTGGATTGCCATCAGTCCTTTTATTGCGTAATTGTGATTTTTCCATGCTTCCCTTTGTCTATGGCATAATCGCACTTACTATGTCGCCCACAATTGTCAAATTGACTGAAAAGATATATATATATTTTAGGATGAGGGAAATTGGGTCCTGCCCCATTAAAAGCAGAGTTATTGCCCTTTGTTCATTTTGAAAACGAAAGCTTGTCCAAAGGTAGGAGACAGATTTGTTAAAGATACTCTGCCTTGTTTATTTTATTCACAATATGTGGTGATAAGGTATATGTAGCTTGATTAGTGAAAAACACCCACTAACTGAGTTTGAAGGAACATGGACGAATCTGGCAGAACTCATCCAGAGTTTGGGGATACATATGTACAAGCACAGATCCCAGCCTGGCCGTTACCTTTTTACTGTCTAGTTAACTTAAACAGGCTCCATTTCTATCCAATATCTAATCTACAGGCTTGTGACCAGTGTGTAAGTTAAAAGACTCCGTGTTTACTAGAAAGTGGTGAGGAGATATGCAGCTCTTAAACCAATAGATAGCTAGCCAGACTGGCAATGTAAAATGTATACACATGTATACCTATTAGAAAACAGCAGATCTGGACTAACAACAAGACATTTATAGGAGCTGGACTATAGGGTGCAGAAAATACATGTTTAAGCTGTGGATTATAGATCTGTGTGGTCTACAATATCTATAGAGAATACGAGGCAAGCATATTAATGTGTGATACACAGAGGTCTCTGTTAAAATGAGTCAGGATTGGTAAGCACAAAACTGGTCAGTAGGCATCTTATTGAATCTAGTTCTAATGATGAGGTATCAGATATCATTGGTTTTGTATTCTTTAAGATCTAATGGACAGTCAATATACCAGCACTTAATTCTAAAAGAGAATTAAAAAAAAAAAGGTTAATATCATTGGGGAATTCTGTTCTAACACTAAGTTTTAAATGTTACTTCAGGTACCCTTGCAAGTGTAATTTGCGAGTTTTTTCAAAAGCTGAAGGACAGATACATGCATGCATGCTTTATTTCACAATGATAAGCTATTACATGAGGTGTTGATCAGTGTAAAATAACTTGATAGAATATGGCTGCAACAGTTGTTTGTGAAAAGCAGTCAAAAAACTATTGCTTTTTAATACTGGACCATATATGTATATGTGTTTGCCTTTCACTGCAAACTTATAATTTAAGTATTCAACTGTATTCTGTTCTTTAATGCATTATTGGATTGATCACAATCCTGTTTAGAGTTTATAGAACTTTAACTCGGGCCAGTTTATAGAACTTTAACTCGGGCCAGAATGAAGTTCAGTATTTGCTTGTATACTTTTCATTAATTTTCACAATAAAATGATATTTGAATTTCAAATTTCATTTGTAAAGTTTAAGGTTTATTTTCAATAAATGGAACAGCCTCAGTATAAGCCAGCTATCTCCGTCATGATTACAATGTCACAGTTGTGTCACGATCACCACTACAAAGTGAATTTACGGCCTCGTAAATCACAAGTGACTTTGGTAGGTTTATACAAGAGCTATATCAAATGCAGAGCATAGATATGTTAATGTAGTTTCATCAGAACACCCAACTAAATAAAAATGTTGTAGTCTAGCAAAAGATTTAAGCAAACCCTCCTTATGCGTACTTCTTCACTAAAAGGTTGAACATAATTAGGCATGCACTTATTGTTTTGCCTTATTTTACAGCTGTTTACACTATACAAGCTGATTTCCTAGCAAAAAGACATCCGATTTCCCCAACATAAAGAAAATAAGAATATCCTGTCAATTTCAATAGAAATATTTCTATATTTTGCCAATTCATGTAGGGATGAAGACGGATGAAAAATTTAGGGAGATAAAAACAGTGAAAGTGTAGCACTGAGTGTTTGTCACTGATGGCAGTGGACAACTCAGTAGTAAAGATTAATAGAATCTTACATGGGTCTGTTCCGTGGACAGGGATATCTCAACCCGAGTGATAGAGTTTGGCTGGTCAGCAAGAGGCTTGATTATTTTTATCACATACTTACAAATAAACAAATTCCAGTCGGAATAAACATTGATTTAACTCTTCCACCCAAATCCCAAACCCCAATGATTCCCCATTCACAACAATTGTATGACATCACAGAAACAATACAATGACGTCACGTTAACAATTCATTATCATGACGTCATAGTGTGTGTCAGCTGTCTTTTCCTACCCCGTGTGAGATAGAGTTATCTCTTCCCTTGCAACAATGGGATCATACTGTGAAGTATGTGAGATAATCTAGTTATTTGTGACAGTTCATCCACATAGCTAGGCTGCTAGCACTGCCTTAATTTATGTTTATACGTGTTCATTGGGGGCCAAATTAAAGCAGTGCTTCATATTCTACATGCCTCCCATGTGCGATGGTACTAGGAGATTTGTAAGTGGAAGACCTCGTGATAAATCTAATGAATGGTAAAGGACATGGTTAGCATGTCTCCCCTTGCTCCACTTGATCTCAGGAGTGTCTGGTACCAGTGTCACAAATATACGGTAAACATTTCTACAGACAATTGTCTTCCTGGAAAGGCACCTTCAAAAGTTCACATGTTTGGTGTACTGCTGGTAATTCAAATTTCAAGTGGTTTCACTTTCTGACATTGCATGTAGAACAAGGACACAAAGAACGTAGATTCCTCCCCTGCGAAATGATTATGAATAATTCATGAAACTTCATGAACAGTTCATGAAATATTCATGAATAATATTCATGAATGTTCTTGATTTGTTCATGAATATTTTCATGAAATTCATGAACTTAAAACTTCATGAATAATCTTGAGCAAAATATTTCATGAAAATTCATGAATATAAATTCATGAATATTCATGAATATTCATGAATGTAAAATCATGAACTTTCATGAATATAAAATCATGAATATTCATGAATATATGAATTCATGAACATTCATGAAAAATGGCAACAATTCATGAATGTTCATGAATGTTCATGAAGAAAACGTCCCATTTTAAGTTCATGAATTGAAAATGCTTGAAATATTCATGAACATTCATGAACATGTACAAATTACCACATTTCATGAACTTTCATGAAAGTTCATGAAAGTCTAATACCATATGAAAATAAACAATGGAATTCCACTTGGATACCAGAGGAAATACCACTGGATTCCACCAGCAATTTGACCTGGAATTTGTGGCCAAATTGCCCAGTGGATTCCAGTGGTATTTCCACTGAAATACCTAGCCAGTGGTCACTGAAATTCAAATTGGAATCACTTATATGAAGATAACAATAATAATGGACATTCAATAGATTCTGAATTTACAGTTATGACGGTATATATAATCATTCATGCTGTGTTTAAAGTTAGAAATAATGCAAGTAACGTCACAAATATCTTTTAAACATGAAAAAATGACAGTTGAATAACATATATATTTGCAAAAGTTTTTACTGCTACATATTTAGCATTGTTAAATATGAAATATGGATGCATGGTTCACATATGGTCTGTGTGGTTTCAAGAATATGATACAGCTGACATTATTAGGTTAGAGTTGTAGAATACAGGTTTCCCAAAACTCTTGAAATTTATCTGTATTGTATATGCAAATACATGCTGGTTTCCTCGTTGTAGAACTTGCACACTTTTTACCCGGTCTACTTATTGCGAGTCTATCCATTCTCCATGTAACAATTGATGGTGTTTGAAGTTCGAAATGTTCGTCTTCTATTTCGTCTAAATCACTGAGTTTGTTCAAAGCTTTTTAAACAAATTTGGAATTAGGATCGGAAATAATAATTCCTTCACCATTAAGTTTTTGTTTTGTCAGTAACAAACACTTTATTTCCAATTGCAAGCTCCACACTGTACGTTCCAATTATTACTGTTGTCATTTTTCTTGGTAGAACTTCTTTTGCCTAAACTTTTATCTAAAAGATATTCTCTTTTGTTTTGCAAAATTATTCCTAGTATTTGCCATACCTCTTTGTATGTCTGCTTAATTGAGGTGTCACTGATAATACATTTTTAAAAAACCGTTGTTATTTTCCAAGAATATTTGGTGCAAGGGGAGATCTTTTTTTTAAATATTGCCAGTACGTGTCTGCCGCATCTTGCATGAGATTGCTGAAAAACTGTTGTGGTGCTTTAGGTATTCCTCTTTTATCCTTTTTCAATAGCAAATCTTTCGCTGTATATCTTGGGACATTTTACACATCACTGTCATCCTGCAGGCTGGTGTTATCTTCTGAGCTTGTACACATATGCTTTAATTATCATTTGAAGATCTTGCACTAAAGCTTACATCTTCAGGTTCTGGCTGCTAATAATACTGCCTGTTTGTGTCGATGTCAGCAAAGCATGACGACTCTGTATCTGGCACACTTCAAAACGATCCATCAAGCAATCGAATGCATCTCTGATGTCCGCGTCAGTAAATTTTAGGAGTAATCCCATTTTCTGAATAAGAAAAAAGTTAATAATTTTTCATTTATCTTATAAAATACTGTAGAAATTAGTATATAGGCCTACCTGTATTTTCAAAGCCCCTGTACATCAACCTTATTTTTTGGGGGGGGGGGGGGCTTTGATATCACACAAGTGGGACAGTAATTTTTATTGAAATTATATATTATCTATCTGCAAATTTCATACAAGTTAAGAACTATCTCAAGAGGTGCATTCATACTGTAAACTTCAAATTCGGCAGGGTGGGATTGGGTGCACACGCACACACGTTTGGTAATTTGGACGCAGTAACCATTAGCACTCAGTAATATATTCAATTCTGTTTTCTAACGTATAATTTTCAGTATCGATATCATTGCTAAACCCGCACGGTAAATATGACCACGGAATTAGATTAGATTATATAAGTCCGTAATATGACGAATCAGATGAGTTGTTGCCAATGTAAACCGTTGTAACATCATGATCACAGACTGGTTTCACATAATTACACATAGTTTTAACATTTCATACAAGTATTTCATAAAATCCCAATCAGATTCTTACCTTCGGCTTCGATAACCTTCCTGCCGTCTTTCGAAAATTTCTCCATCTCCACTTTCTTCTGAAGCGTATTTGGCGCGGGATTAATTTCGTCCAATCAGAATAATTCCTCTATTCGCTCCGATCCTACCGGAAGTCAATTTATAAAAATATGGCATGGAATGACTTCGGTGCGAAAAAAGACCATGTAACTTTGTCTGTCGATAAACAGGCACACCAATCGATGAAAGGAAGATTAAAACACATATAAAAAGATACGGGCTTCATCTCAATGACGGCGATGCAAACAATGGATAGGAATTGGAGTTTGAACATTCGCCCGACAGCATGTCAACAACTCCAGTTTCCCCTGGATTTTCGCACACTAGGTAAGACTAAGGCCATCATACGTTGATTAAATTAACTTAAGGAGCAATGCCATGTTGTTTCCGTAGTTATTTCAATTAAAAGTTTTTGTAAAAAGTCCAGAGGTGTAGGCGTGTCGCTGTTTTGTGCCACTAAGTCACCGAATATTTCACAGGCGTTCGAAATTCTGACAGTAAATTGACAGACCTAACGTTAAATCTTATAAAGGAATATGGACGATTAAGTCAATTACTATCGATAGTAATACTGTTATCTTGAAATGATAAATATCTCAATTTACTGTCAGAATTTTAAATGCTTGTGATTATTTTCACCGCATGGCGACGGTAAAATCCTGGGTATAATCGAAGTCAAGTATCTCTTCGTTTTTGAGGATTATGTTGTATAATATTGTACCAATTGTGAACTAATACTTGTACTTTACATAACGAAAAAATAAAAAAAAAATCCTGTTCATGATCTATGATCTAAATAAAATGTTTAGATTATTATTTTTACTGCAACTGGCAGTTGGAATTATTCTGAGCAATGTTGACTGAAAATGTTTATGTCCAATGTTAATTACCAGTAAATATACTGTCAACTTACCAGCCATGCCAGTATTTACTGGTAAACATTGGACAACAATTTCTTTAGTAAATATTAATTGCGGCCCTGAGATAATTAGCTATCTTGTCAATTACCTCATATAGAACTCCCTGATCTCAAAGATCTCATCTCGCTTTCAGTTTATAAAAGTGTGAAGGTTCATGATCTTTCCTGTTCAGGTGTCCCGCTTTGTCGGTGACTAACTGATGTCATTAAACAAACTTCAAAATACACTAGTCTCAAATTTAGAAATGGCTTGACATCCTTGAACTACCCGACTATTTACTAAGGATGTTAAACATTGTAAACCAAGCTGGAAACAATTCTGAATTTGGTCTTCAATAAACAATAGTTCCATCCGCAATAAGCCCATGCCTGCAGGTAATAACACCCTCCCCCCAATATCATTATGAATTTCATTATTTTTTAATTCATTTCCCTATATATACATGTAGCGTGTAATATATATATGTCTGCAATTAGACCACCCAATATTTTACACTTGCTCCCTGGGCTTATTGAAGGATAAATATGGTAGATGATAATTAATTGGTAATTGGCGTGTTCAGTATATCATACAAATTATATATTTCAGATCAGATTCAGAGACAAGCTCTGATGATAAATTAAACCAAGATCTAGAGGATATGGCCAATTGGCATGAAGACCAGGGTTCAATATACTCAGAATCTGATCAGGAGATGACAGATCCTGAACAGGATGATTCAGAGGCCAACAGTGATTCCGAAGATGAGAACCAAAAGGAAATGAATTGTGACTGGTGTAGTTCTTATGACTTCACTGTATTCAACTCAGAATTAGCAGTCAACAAAATTCCTAATTCTGATACTATGACTAAACTTGAATGGCTGTGCTATCAGTTTCATAGGTTTGTGTCCCATCCATCAATGAGCAAAGCAGCGTTTACACAAAATCTTCAGGTGCAGAAAATAATACACAATGACAAAGACAATATACAAAACAATAATGAAAATAATGAACTGCCAGGATGACTTTTTACCAGCTGTGCCAATATCTCTGAATGTCCTTGCAAGTCTGGGACATATTGAGTCAGAATTTGAAAAATGCCATTACCATGCCCGTGTTAAAGGAGCATGCTGAAAAATCACTCTGCATTCATGTTTTTGAACTAGTTGACTGGAGACACTGTATTAGTTCATTGCAGTAGACTAGGAAAGAAGTTCATCTTAGTCCAAATAACACCAAATCTCACATTCATAAGTGTTAAACACTTGAACATAACTGACTTAACATAGTCATATTTTGTATAAACTCATGTACGTTAATAGCTAGCCTACAATTGTCTTTGTAAAGGGTAATATATCTATTAAAAAATTGTTAAACTGATGTATTGTTCCATTTTTTCTAGTTAATACCACTTCATGCAAAATGTATTTCAGATCTCATCACCTCTGCATGGATTGTCAGAGGAGTTATAGTTCCATTGGAATTAATATTCCAGTAGAAATATAATTCCAGTGATTTTTTTCCAGTGGAATTCTACTTGTATTTTTTTGCTTCACTGGAATTCCACAGGATTTTTGTTTTCTTCTCTGGAATTCCAGTGGTATTCCACTGAAATATTTCATTCCAGTGGAATCTCACTGAAATTCCAGTGTTATTTTCAATGTGTATATATATATATATATACATAAGGAGGTGAGAAGCATGTGATTTGTAGTCTGTGACCTTAACAACTGACTGAGCCACCGCTGCTCCCAGTAATTACAGTGCTTCCCAAAGTCAATAAAATCAATACAGAGCGAACTCCATAATATAATTTATGTATACTTCCTGCAAAATTGGCAATTATATTTATATATTATATATATTTACATTATTATATACATTCATGCAAAATGGACATGGAGTTGAAATAACCACATGAAAAAAAAAGGTTTCTGAGGATACTGAGTTTTCTCATCATTCATAATTTCATGAATAATAGTGAATTTTGTGTATTTGAAATATTCATCAAAGTTCATGATTTCTGCTCGGTCAATCTTTAAGAAATTTTGATGAATTTTAATGAATTTGCATTATTCATTTAAATTCATCAAAGTTCATGATTTCTCAAGGATATGCCTTTCATGAATTCTGATGAATTTTAATGAATTTTTGCTGTGCATTAAAGTCCATGAATAATTCATAATCACAAACTTCATGCAGATTCATGCATTTTAATGAATTTATTAATTATTCATAAAAGTTCATGAAGAATGCATGAAAGCCGGTTGATGAATATTCATGAATAAGTATTCATGAATTTCAAACTGTCTGTATTCATGAATGTTCATGAATTGTTCATGACCATTCATGATTTCATGAATACCCTCTCGCAGGGGCTTTTTCAAAGTCTGATTTACATTATTCACACGAAAGACATTTAACTTTGAACAAAAAGTTCAATGCTTTAACATTTCTTGGAGAAAAAGTAGTTTGAACAGATTTGCCCTTTAGCGATTTTTTCAACTGTTATGTTAATTGGATCTGGTCATGTTTTATGCCCTCGTTGACAACAAATGTTGTTCTTAATTGTCGCAGGAATTTTTACAAGTTTTAAATTAAATTCATAAAATTACAGATATATTTGTAAATGAAACAATAAAACATCTGATAGGACAAAAAACTCTACCCATAGTTTTGACCTTGCCAATACCTGTTTGACCTTGGGAATATCCGCTGGCACATGACCCATTGTCTAGCCATCTCTGATTGATCTTGGAATACGACTGGTAATAGTGATGAAGGGGACTTTGTTCGGTCAGTGACTTACAACAGATCTAAAGCAGAAAAATGTCATATTGTGGTCTTAACAGCTCACCGTACATTGGTGTGTAAGTTTATTTAGCTTTCCACCAGCAAGTACGATAAATGACACTGATGTGATCTAATGCTTTGTTTCAGTAAATATAGGGAATTTGTATGTAGCTAAAACCATTAAAAAGGCTAGCTATGATGATGGACATATGTGCTGTGAGTGTCAATAAACCATTATTAGACAAAGCTATTAACCTCAGTGCTGGCAGACAGTAATTATTATGAGTCATTCTAAAAGGGCAAAGGTTCCTACTGGCTGTTAAATGAGCGGAGAATTGCTTCAGTAGAAGATTATACATATTTTAATTTTTGCAAAAGGTGTTTTTTTATGGAAAAGTTATATGATCATAGTTTTATCTAAAGTCATTTTGATTTGTGATGTAAAAGACATTTAACATATTAGTTGTCTTTTTATAGAGTATTGTTATCACCCTTACAAAAGTAGAAAACAACAGGAAGACATATATGTCACATAAAATGTGATTAAGGAAATGATAATATACCTGTTCCTGAGGAAACTGATTAAGGAGATGTAGCATCAGCATCACTGACCTACTGGCAGTTTGTTGTATAGATCAAAATCTTTGTTGTTGTCACCATGGAGATACATTTCCTGTATTACAACTATTGTATATTTATTAGAGGTTCCACATTAATATATGTCACATTCTGTCAAACATCGTTCTTACCAGCATGGTCTAATTATAACGTAGTCAAGTGATAATAAGCATTATTACAAAGGAAACGTCTGGCTGCTGAGGAATGACTGAGGGGATATTTATGTCCCTGGAGTTCTTAGATCATAGAAGCCAGGTGCTTTTGGGGACACCTAAGAAAAGAAAGAGAGTTACTGTCTGAAGTGAAAAGAAAAGACAGAGATCCATGTTGCCATGGGGTCATCATGGATGTAGGAAAGGGAAATTCCTACCAAGGGATTTTGGTAAAACTGAGGCTTGCAGAGAGATGTGTAAACATATGAAAACCCTGAGGGTAGAATATCTCCAATCTGTATCCCCTGGGCATGAATGTTTTTTTCTATCTCATTCCTGTCACCAGAATTAGCAAAGAAACCAAAAGAAGGCATCACAATTTTCGCATCGCTGCATCAAAATGTTTCCGATTTCATGCCATCACATCATTGTTGTCCCATTGTTATGTCACACACGTGTAATAGGGTGTAAGAAAGAAATTGTTTACACTCAATTATATTTTCCACTAAACAATCAACATAGTGACATTGTAAGCCTGTATGTCATTTATTGAGTATTCTTCATTTTGTTGTGCACTGAAGCTGTTCCCGTGTAATCAGTGTTTCAGTGGCTGCCACATCATATTTTGAAATTTCAAAACAGTTGAAGATGATTTTTAAAATTCAAATAATGCCAAAGAGAATTGAGTTGTAATTAGTCCCAATAGTACCATTTGCAATCTCTATGAAAATGAAATTGAACGTTTTGCCATATCAGAAAGAGCTAATGAGAAATTAGAAAATCTAAAATGTAGGTTTTGAATGTCAAATTGTGGTAATCAGATGACTCAGTTAGTCTGTCGATGAATCATCGTATGATGTTTTCTTATTAGGTCATCCCTTATTTGTATTCTAAATGTTGAGCAGTTTGAACCACACATGGACTACACTCGCTGGATATGGTTCAACACTGGAGAACGTGACATGAGGCATGCTACAAGAACATATAGTCAAATTGATTTTCTTTCCATTACAGAAAAGGGTTGGCGGTGAGCTTGAGTATAACCTTGCGTTTGGGAAGGTAGACGTCCAGTTACCCAGCCTGAGGAGGGATACACGCCCAGAGCCACCTGATCGTCACAGTGGCTGGAGAGTAGACATTGTACTTATAGACGCTGTGGTGGTATAGCTGCCATATGACAGCAAATCTGACATTGGTCATTAAGAAGAGGTTGAGAAGAATTGAAAGGTGATAAAAGAAAAAAACACAACTTTGACAAAAGTTTTCATGTATTTCATCACGCAAAATGGTGAAAACATTTCAAGCTTACCTGCCGAACAAATGCCACCGTACCTATAGCTGTGTGCACTGTCGAGCGCATCTGGCCAACCACGACGAGCTGATCTCAAAGGTACTTATTGTGCTTGTTAATCATGTATACATATGTAGTCAAATCTAGCAATATTGAAGTTGATAGGACAATTTACAAACTTAAGAAAAAACGGGTTATTTTATGAAAAAAATAACTTTCTGTCGACAAATTTACTTCAAGAACAGTGAGTATTAAGCTATCCAAGTCTGTAAGAATTACATTCGACTTGGAAGTGTTGCAGTGATTCATCAATTGACAAAAAAGTTGTGATTCCCATTTCAAAATTGATTGATGTCCTGTGCTTCAGATAACAGAGTATGCCCCAAGACAATAACACATATTTGTATTATGATGTGGGTGCTTTGGTTTTAAGCAGATGATCTTTAAGTTTTAAGTATAATGTATTTGACTTTATTTTTATTAAAATTCTTACAAATGAAGATATATCAACTCTGTAAGGGTGAAGCAAGGTGATAATAGTCTATTATGCTTTCTTAGAGCACTTACCGGGTAGGCATTTCAAAAAAAAGAAAAAGAAAAATTTGTTGCTGTGTTGGAGATTGTTTTATTTGTAGTGATAACAAAAAGCTTGACCTGAGAATTTATCCCCAGACAATAAGGATCTCAGAGGATTTGTTTTACACCGATTTCCTGCTACAAAGTAATTACAAATGCTGATTCACCAGCATGCAATGACAGTGTCTACTCATCCCTTAGTTCCATTAAAGACATTTTTACTATGAAATATTAATTAAAGCTTCATTTAGGGACAAAATGATTTAAATGATATTTCAGAAAACTCCATTAGAGATTTATGTACCCAGTTATTGCCTTGATGTGCAGTAAAGCAGTATGTCATTGTGTTTTGTGCTAGGTTAGTTACAGTTATAAGGCTCAAAGTCAATATTCATAAAAACTGTTTCAGTATAAAAAATCTATCTGGAATATTAATTGCAAAATGTTTCTGCGTTAACACTTCAGATATCTCACTTGAAGTGTCGAAGCAATTTCTAGAATTTTTCAGTTGAGATGGTTTTCTGTTTTAGGATTATTTTCTTTAATAAACCTTGCTGGAAAGAATATAAGAATCTTTCATGCTCAAGTGTGTAAGATAGGGAAATTTCACCCGAGGGGTTTTCAAATTTGGTAAAACCCAAGGCTTTTACATAACCTTTTTTCAGATGTGTTATATAGGAATGATAGATGTGACAGAATAACAATCCATGAAGATTCGCTGCAACACTTGTCAATCTTAACTAATAGAAGTTATTTTTACCTTCCTACAATGTACCTGTTAGGCTAAAATGATTCATAAATTTGTATTGTATCACAATCCTATCTTGTCTATTGTATCACGATACTATCTTGTGTATTGTATCACGATCCTATCTTGTATATTGTATCGCGATACTATCTTGTCTATTGTATCACGATACTATCTTGTGTATTGTATCACGATCCTATCTTGTATATTGTATCGCGATACTATCTTGTCTATTGTATCACGATACTATCTTGTGTATTGCATCACGATACTATCTTGTATATTGTATCACAATACTATCTTGTCTATTGTATCACAATACTATCTTGTGTATTGTATCAAGATACTATCTTGTATATTGTATCACGATACTCTCTTGTGTATTGTATCACGATACTCTCTTGTCTATTGTATCACGATACTTTCTTGTATATCGCGTCATGTGTATTGTATCACGATACTATCTTGTGTCTTGTATCACGATACTATCTTGTCTATTGTATTACGATACTATCTTGTCTATTGTATCACGATACTATCTTGTGTATTGTATCACGATACTATCTTGTGTAATGCATCACGATACAATCTTGTATATTGTATCACGATACTATCTTGTATATTGTATCGCGATACTTTCTTGTGTATTGTATCACGATACTATCTTGTATATTGCATCACGATACTATCTTGTATATTGTATCGCAATACTTTCTTGTTTATCGTATCACAATACTTTCTTGCATATTGTATCACGATACTTTCTTGTGTATCGCATCACGATACTTTCTTGTGTATCGCATTACAATACTTTCTTGTGTATTGCATCACGATACTTTCTTTTTTATCACAATACTTTTTGTTTATTGTATCACGATACTTTCTTGTGTATTTTATCATGATACTTTCTTGTTTATCAGATCACAATACTTTCTTGTTTATTGTATCGCGATACTTTCTTGTGTAATGTTTCACAATACTTTCTTGTGTATTGTATATTGCGATACTTTCTTGTATATTGTATCGCGATACTTTCTTGTATATTGCATCACCATACTTTCTTGTGTATCACATTACAATTCTTTCTTGTATATCGCATCAGGATACTTTCTTGTGTATCACAATACTTTCTTGTGTACTGTATCATAATACTTTCTTGTGTATCGCATCACGATACTTTCTTGTGTATCGCATCACGATACTTTCTTGTGTATTGTATCGCGATACTTTCTTGTGTATCATATTATGATACTTTCTTGTCTATTGTATCACGATACTTTCTTGTGTATCATATCATGATACTTTCTTGTGTATTGTATCATGATACTTTCTTGTGTAATGTATCATGATACTTTCTTTTGTATTGTATCACGATTCTTTCTTGTGTATCGCATCACGATACTTTTTTGTGTATCGTATCATGATACTTTGTTGTGTATTGTATCACGATATTTTCTTGTGTATTGCATCATGATACTTTCTTGTGTATCATATCATGATACTTTCTTGTCTATTGTATCATGATACTTTCTTTTGTATTGTATCACGATTCTTTCTTGTGTATCGCATCACGATACTTTTTTGTGTATCGTATCATGATACTTTGTTGTGTATTGTATCACGATATTTTCTTGTGTATTGCATCATGATACTTTCTTGTGTATCATATCATGATACTTTCTTGTCTATTGTATCATGATACTTTCTTTTGTATTGTATCACGATTCTTTCTTGTGTATCGCATCACGATACTTTTTTGTGTATCGTATCATGATACTTTGTTGTGTATTGTATCACGATATTTTCTTGTGTATTGTATCATGATACTTTCTTGTGTATTGTATCACGATACTTTCTTGTGTATTGTATCATGATACTTTCTTGTGTATTGTATCAGGATACTTTCTTGTGTTTCACATCATAGTACTTTGTTGTGTATTGTATCATGATACTTTCTTGTGTATCATGATACTTTCTTTTGTATCGCATCACGATACTTTCTTGTGTATCACGTTTCTTTCTTGTGTATCCGACACGATTCTATCTTGTGTATCGCATCACAATACTTTCTTGTGTATTGTATCGCGATACTTTCTTGTGTATTGCATCACAATACTTTCTTGTGTATCGCATCACGATACTTTCTTGTGTTTCGCATCATGATACTTTCTTGTGTATCGCATCACAATACTTTCTTTTGTATCGCATCACAATACTTTCTTGTGTATCCAATCACGATACTTTCTTGTGCATCACGATACTTTCTTGTGTATCACGATTCCTTCTTGTGTATCGCATCATGATTCTTTCTTGTGTATCGCATCACGAAACTTTCTTGTGTATCGCATCATGATACTTTCTTGTGTATTGTATCACGATACTTTCTTGTATATCGCGTCACGATACTTTCTTGTGTTTCGCATCACAATACTTTCTTGTGTATCATGATACTTTCTTTTGTATCGCATCACGATACTTTCTTGTGTATCACGATTCTTTCTTGTGTATCCGACACGATTCTTTCTTGTGTATCGCATCACGATACTTTCTTGTGTAACGCATCACGATACTTTCTTGTGTATTGTATCGCGATACTTTCTTGTGTATCGCATCACGATACTTTCTTGTGTATCGCATCACGATACTTTCTTGTGTTTCGCATCATGATACTTTCTTGTGTATCGCATCACAATACTTTCTTTTGTATCGCATCGCAATACTTTCTTGTGTATCCAATCACGATACTTTCTTGTGTATCACGATTCCTTCTTGTGTATCGCATCATGATTCTTTCTTGTGTATCGCATCATGATACTTTCTTGTGTATCGCATCATGATACTTTCTTGTGTATCGCATCGCAATTCTTTCTTGTGTATCGTATCATGATACTTTGTTGTGTATTGTATCACGATACTTTCTTGTGTATTGTATCATGATACTTTATTGTGTATCGCATCACGATACTTTCTTGTGTATCAAATCATGATACTTTCTGTGTATTGTATCAGGATACTTTTTTGTGTAGATATATTTGGCTTTGTATTTTTTACTCCATTCCTCTAAACCTGAGTCATTTTATAATTATAACAAATATGTTCAACTTTAAAAATCATAAAAAATTTACACCAAATTGCATAGTTTTAAATTTCAAATTTATTCAAGAATCAATAGCATAACAGGTTCCATTATATATATCAGCAGCTTCAGTATCTGATCTCTGGCAAGATATCAAAATAATTTCGAAAATAATTTGTTGTTACATAACTACTATCGAATCAAATCTATTTTATAAAGTGTGCCTGTTTCCTATTTCCAATGATTAAATGAAATAATGTTGTTGGGTTGTCAAATTTTAAGACGTAATGTGATTGTTACCTTGAGTACAGCTCAAATTTCAATTTCTTCCTGAACCTTTTACGGTAAACTGTAGTAGACGTAGAAATGTTCGTATAATCATGTTATTTCTTGACCGTGTTTAATAAACAACACTATATGAAGTCAATTGAAGTGCAGGACAATAATGTGAAGAAACATCAGAATTACAAAATTATATTTAAAAGGAAATGTTCACGAATCAGTTACGCTTCATGTGAAAGGCCCTGAAGGACCCAGCTGTACCAATACTGAAAGTTGGAACTATGCATTGAAATCCATTTTGCCGGCATGGCTATAACTTAGATAAATCATTTCTGGAAAGAAATCCCAGCGGGACTTTTATGGAAAATAATGAAGATGAAAAAAACAACAAAATGTTAACTCAGCCAAGATAGAAAT